ACTTTTTTACCAGTCCCTTGTTCTTTAACAGTTCTTGGAATAAATTCTAATTTGGCTGAAATTCTGGTCTGGAGCAGTTATGTTGTTAGATGAGCCAGTTGCTAGCTGTCTACTGCCTGTACATCTAAGCACAGCTCCTGGCTAGCCCTAATGGCTTTACTTTACAAAATATTTATCCACATCTAATACTGAATTCATCTTTTATTAATGCAGTGCCTTACCTCTTCTGGCACAATTTCTCTAAAGGCACTGTGCTGTGTCTTGTACTTCACAGCACTCCAGAGATATGCTACTTCGCTGCACAAAGCTTTTAAAATCATGTTGCTTCAATTACAAATGCATGTTATCAGGAGATGAAAATCTAATATCCATCCTGTTTTTTCCTTTGTAAATGTATTTAAAACCATCCTGCACCTGTGTTGTTGTTTTCACCATGTCAGTTCAGCACAAAAAGCTTCAAGCCATTAAGTAAGAACCGTTTATTGACACAAAATTTTAAAAATTGCTTTAGGAAAGAACAGTTCTGAAAGGAAGCCAATTTCTTTATTAGTTAACCAAACTTTTGAAGTTGAGCTCATCCTAATTCACCACCAGTTCTCGTTTCAAAAGAGCAGTTTTACTGAAGACTGTAACTCAGTGACATAAGAGTTTGGATAAAGGGCATTTTTCACCTGTCTTTAACCACTTGTGCCTCTCCTCGCAAGAGATCAACAACGTGAAATCTGCTGGCTCACCAAGGGGCTTCCTGGCTCTTGCCTTGCCACATAGTGTTGGTCCAGCCATCTCCTGTGTGGTGGCATCCAGAGGTTGTGCTATAGGCTGCTGTGCCAAGCAGGCACCTTTCAGCTGGGACACTGTTCATTTGTGGACCCTATCTCCTGTGTTAAGGTTAAGTAATTCCTCAGCTGCAAAAGGGGAACAACATAGCTGACCAGCATTCCGGATATTTTCTGAGGATAAATAGACTGAAGACTGTAAAATACTCAGTTACTCCAATGGTAACTAATAACCTAGAGAAGTGTATGGGAATGCAGAGAAATAAGTCAAGTCAGCTGGAAGAAGGACACCGGAGCAGGTTACCTCAGCAGAGAGGGTCACAGAAGAGGAGCTGGAATGCAGGAGTGCAGAAACTTATGAAAACAGAGACTAGTTGTGGGAAAGGACATTTTAGGTCACTCGTTCTCTTGTTCGCCAAGTATCCAGAGCAGGGACAGCCATGCGCATGGCTGGTTTGGATCCTGAATGGTAAAACCTGTGCTTGATGGGCAACTTGCACGTGGGAGTTTTCTCATGCTTCCTATCACACCCTTTCCTTAGAAAGTGGGAGATAAACACAGACCTGAGGTGCAGTCTTCAAATAGCAGCTGCCCTTCAACCCAGCAGAAACAAGACAAGTTGCCTTCTCTGTTTCCCTCATGTCCTTCTACACAGCCTACAAGAGGTCTTCTGACCGTTCACTCCAAGCTGGTACTACTCTTAAGTATTTCTGAAAGTGAGCTGAGTTAGATTTTATATTTACTTGTGATGCAAACAGCTTTGTTGCTCCTACTCGTACCGTGGACTACAGGTACATATGGGCCAAATATTTGATCAGTGGGACTGGGCTGAAGGGACGCGAAGGAAGCAAAAAACACATAAGCATCATTTTAAAGAAAGTCTAGGTTATAAGCAAAACAAGATAAACTTGAGAACAAATTTGTACATCACTGTCATTGGCAACCGGAAGACAGTTTGCTTTTTTGTTTGTTTTAAGTAAATTCTTAATTCAGCTTAAGGACTTTTCCTTCTGAGGCCCAGGAGCCATGGCAGAGAAGCTGACACTTGACTTCTCGTCATGTGGACAGAGAAGCCAAAGAAAGAAAATGGTAGTAAAGACTAAGCTGTGTCACTGCCGCTTCTGAAAGTCTGCTTCTTTCCTCCGCAGAGTTCAGCCAAAAAAGAGAAAGGAAATCCAGCACAAGTTTTCTTCAGAAGCAGCAGCATAAAAGTAAATTTAGGGAACAGGAAAGCATGTTGCGGAGAGCCAATATCCTCTGGCGTGCTGGTACAGCCATGCTGTTGCTTGCTAAAAGAGTATGTGACAAAGAAACAGTGATCTTGTCATGGTGTAATGATAGTAACAGATCATTTTGGAAGAAATAAAATCCTTACTGCACTGAGTAACTCTATCTTGGCAAGGGCAGTTGATTAAAATTCAGATTTTCCCTGCTGTTATGTAAAGATGGATCTTTAACAGCATTTAGACAAACATTCAGAGCATAAGTTCATTTCTGTGTATTTTTAAGAAACATGGCAAGCCTGTGGCTGGGACGGCTGAGAAGGAGCCTTACTAGGGCACAGAAAGGAAAAGCTGTTCCGAAAAGCAGCAGTAAAACCAGCGGCGGGCAACATGCCTCCCTGGCCAGCCCGGCCGGGAGCCCCTTCGCTCCAACGTGGCCGCAGACCTGGTGCGACCCGAGCTTGGCGCGACCCAGAACCCGCGCATCGCCTCGTCGGCAGCCTGCGCTCACGACGGCCACGCGGCCCGGCCTCGGCCGCTGGGGAAGGGAGCCCACGGCACGGCCCCCAGGCCCCCCCGAGG